TAAAGGAGGGAACAGAGGAGGTAAAGGAGGAACAGAGGAGGTAAAAGAACAGAGGTAAGGAGGCAACAGAGGAGGTAAAGGAGGGAACAGAGGAGGTAAAGGAGGTAAAGGAGGGACAGAGGAGGTAAAGGAGGCAACAGAGGAGGTAAAGGAAGGAACAGAGGAGGTAAAGGAGGGACAGAGGAGGAAAAGGAGGGAACAGAGGAGGTAAAGGAGGCACAGAGGAGGTAAAGGAGGTAAAGGAACAGAGGAGGTAAAGGAGGGACAGAGGAGGTAAAGGAGGAAAGAGGAGGAGGAACAGAGAGGAGGTAAAGGAGGAAAGGAGGAGGGAACAGAGGAGGTAAAGGAGGGAACAGAGGAGGTAAAGGAGGGAACAGAGGAGGTAAAGGAGGACACAGAGGAGGTAAGGAGGGACACAAGGAGGAACAGAGGGAAAGAGGAGGAGGGAACAGGAGGAGAGAGGAGGTAATGAGGTAAAGGAGGACACAGAGGAGGTAAAGGAGGGAACAGAGGAGGTAAAGGAGGGAACAGAGGAGGTAAAGGAGGACACAGAGGAGGTAAAGGAGGGAACAGGAGGTAAAGGAGGACACAGAGGAGGTAAAGGAGGAACAGAGGAGGTAAAGGAGGACACAGAGGAGGTAAAGGAGGACACAGAGGAGGTAAAGGAGGAACAGAGGAGGGAGGGGCACAAGGAGTAAGGAGGAGGAGGTAAAGGAGGGAACAGAGGAGGTAAAGGAGGACACAGAGGAGGTAAAGGAGGGAGGAGGTGGAAAGGGAGGAGGGTAAGGAGGCAGAGGGTAAAGGAGGGAACAGAGGAGGTAGAGGGAGGTAAAGGAGGCAACGGGAGGAGGACAGAGGAGGTAAACAGAGGAGGTAAAGGAGGGAACAGAGGAGGTAAAGGAGGCAACAGAGGAGGTAAAGGAGGCAGAAAAAACACAAATATATTTCAGATTAGAGTTTTTACAATCAGAATAATCAAGATTCAGTTTCCCGTTTGAAAATCTCCACAGGAACATTCATTTGTTTCACTCGTTTGTTTGTCCAGTTTAGTTTTCGTTTGAGTTTAAAGTCTTGTTCGGTTCAGAGCAGGTCCAGGAGCTTCTCACCTCGAGCCACGACACCACGGTGGGACCGTCCCAGGAGGCGAAGGGGAGACCCTGACGACACGCCTCCTCCAGCAGCTCATGTCTGGAACACAACACAGAGAAGAACCATGAAACACCAGAAAAACCATGAAACACCAGAGAGAACCATGAAACACCAGAAGAACCATGAAACACCAGAAGAACCATGAAACACCAGAAGAACCAGAAGAACACCAGAAACATGAAACACCAAGAAGGAACCAGAGAAACCAGAAGAACCATGAAAACCAGAAGAACCACACCAGAGAGAAGAACCATGAAACACCAGAGAGAAGAACCATGAAACACCAGAGAAGAACCAAAGAAGAACCATGAAACACCAGAAGAACCATGAAACACCAGAGAAGAACCAAAGAAGAACCATGAAACACCAGAGAGAAGAACCATGAACCACCAGAGAAGAACCAAAGAAGAACCATGAAACACCAGAAGAACCATGAAACACCAGAAGAACCATGAAACACCAGAGGGAAGAACCATGAAACACCAGAGAGAAGAACCAAAGAAGAACCATGAAACACCAGAAGAACCATGAAACACCAGAGAGGAACCAGAGAAGAACCATGAAACACCAGAGAGAAGAACCATTAAACACCAGAGAAAAGAACCATGAAACACTAGAGAAGAACCAAAGAAGAACCATGAAACACCAGAAGAACCATGAAACACCAGAGAAGAACCAGAGAAGAACCATGAAACACCAGAAGAACCATGAAACACCAGAGAGAAGAACCATGAAACACTAGAGAAGAACCAAAGAAGAACCATGAAACACCATGAAACACCAGAAGAACCAGAAGAACCATGAAAACACCAGAGAAGAACCATGAAAACACCAGAGAAGAAGAACCATGAAAACACCAGAGAGAAGAACCATGAAACAGAAGAACCATGAACCAAAGAGACAGAAACACCAGAGAAGAACCATGAAACACCAGAGAGAAGAACCATGAAACACCAGAGAGGAACCAGAGAAGAACCATGAAACACCAGAGAAGAACCATGAAACACCAGAAGAACCATGAAACACCAGAAGAACCATGAAACACCAGAGAGAAGAACCATGAAACACCAGAGAGGAACCAGAGCTGTTATGGAACATCTCCACACTGTGATGGTCAGATACGTTTGGAGCCACAGCCGCCCCGGGACAGACTGAGGCGAAACACTCACTTCTTCTTGTTGCGTCGGTCTTTGTCGGCAGGTCCCAGAGTCCCGGTTTTACTCAGAGTCATGGAGTCTCCAGGGCCCAGGTCCTCAGACGGAGTGGACGCTGAGGAAGGAGAGAAGAAAGGAACGAAAGGATTAATATGAGAGGAGAGACAGAAAGGTCCTCAGAGGGAGTGGAGGCTTATGGAGATAAAATTGCCTAAAATTATATACATAAATATACATACATTTATGAATATCCAAATACAAATATAAAAACGTGACATACAAATAAATAAATTAGTATAAATAAGTATCAGGGTCTGATCAAGTGTTAACGGAGGGAAACAGGCAGATTTTTGACATTCAAAAATTCAGAAACTAGAGCCGGCATGTCCAAACTATGGCCCGGGGGCCAAATGCGGCGAAATCAAACTTGAATATAACCATTATATATATATTATATATACGATATGTCAGAATTCATATCGAGTTTAAAAACTGTCTCGATATATTTAAAATATCGATATATCGCCCACCCCTAGTAGTTTGTGTCTGTCTGTGTGTGTAGTATATTTGTATGTAGTATATTTGTGTGTAGTATATTTGTGTGTAGTATATTTTGTTATGTTATTTGTGTGTAGTATATGTGTGTGTAGTATATTTGTATGTAGTATATTTGTGTGTAGTATATTTGTGTGTAGTATATGTATGTAGTATATTTGTGTGTAGTATATTTGTGTGTAGTAATGTTGTGTGTGTGTGTGTGTGTGTGTGTGTGTGTGTGTGTGTGTGTGTTGTGTGTGTAGTGTAGTATATATGTTGTGTATAGTTGTGTAGTATATTTGTAGTGTATATTTGTGTGTAGTATATTGTGTGTATATAATTTGTGTGTAGTATATTTGTGTGTAAGAATATTTGTGTAGATAGTATTTGTATGTAGTATATTTTGTGTATAGTGTGTGTAGATGTATTGTGTGGTGTGTGTGTTGTGTATGTGTGTGTGTGTGTGTAGTGTGTGTGTGTGTATGTAGTATATTTGTGTGTAGTATATTTGTATGTAGTATATTTGTGTGTAGTATATTTGTGTGTAGTATGTGTATGTAGTATTGTATGTAGTATATGTGTGTAGTATATAGTATGTAGTATATGTAGTATATATTGTGTGTAGTTAGTATATATTGTGTATGTAGTTATATTGTGTAGTATGTTGTATATATTTGTGTGTAGTATATTTGTATGTAGTATATTTGTGTGTAGTATATTTGTGTGTAGTATGTGTATATGTAGTATTATGTGTAGTATATATGTAGTATATGTTGTATGTAGTAGTATAGTGGTGTGTGTGTAGTATATTTGTGTGTAGTTGTGTAGTATATGTGTATAGTATGTGTGTAGTATATTTGTATGTAGTATATTTTGTGTGTGTGTAGTATATTTGTGTGTAGTATATTGTATTTGTGTATAGTTTTGTATGTTAGTATATTGTGTGTTATATGTGTGTAGTATATTTGTGTGTAGTAGTATATTTGTATGTAGTATATGTTGTGTGTAGTATATGTGTGTGTATGTGTGTGTAGTATATTTGTGTTTGTGTGTAGTATATTTTGGTGTAGTATATTTGTGTGTAGTATATTGTATGTAGTATATTTGTGTGTAGTATATTTGTGTGTAGTATGTGTATATAGTATGTATATGTAGTATATTTGTGTGTAGTATATTTGTATGTAGTATATGTGTGTAGTATATTTGTGTGTAGTATATGTGTGTGTATTTGTGTAGTATATTTGTGTGTAGTATATGTTAGTATGTGTAGTATATTTGTTGTGTAGTATTTGTTGTAGTATATTTGTGTGTAGTATATTTGTGTAGTATAGTTGTGTGTTGTAGTATATGTAGTGTGTGTAGTATAGTATATGTAGTATGTAGTATATGTGTATGTAGTATATTGTGGTGTAGTATATTTGTATGTAGTATATATTTGTGTAGTATATTTGTATGTAGTATATTTGTGTGTGTAGTATATTTGTGTAGTTTAGTATTGTAGTATATTTGTATTGTATGTGTATATGTGTATATATTGTGTGTAGTATATGTATATGTGTATGTAGTATATGTGTGTATGTAGTAGTATATTTGTATGTTGTGTGTAGTTATGTAGTATTGTGTAAAGATTTGTATGTAGTATATTTGTGTTGTAGTAGTAGTATTTTGTGTAGTAGTGTGTGTAGTATATTGTGTGTGTATATAGTATATTTGTGTGTAGTATATTTGTGTGTAGTATATGTTGTATGTAGTATATTGTGTGTTGTATATGTAGTATATTTGTTGTGTATATTTGTATAGTATATGTGTAGTATATTTGTGTAGTATATTTGTGTGTAGTATATTTTGTGTGTAGTATATTTGTGTGTAGTATATGTAGTATATTTGTGTGTAGTATGTGTGTGTGTAGTATATTTGTTTGTGTAGTATAATTTGTAGTTTGTGTGTAGTATGTTGTAGTAGTATTGTGTGTAGTATATGTGTATGTAGTATATTTGTGTGTAGTATGTGTGTAGTATATTTGTGTGTAGTATATTTGTGTGTAGTATATTTGTGTGTAGTATATTTGTATGTAGTATATTTGT